CCCCGGCGCGGTCCAATCCGCGCGCCTGCCGGCCCGGGCCTCGCCGGCGCGCGCCGACTTCCGCATCCGGCTCCGGGCGCTTCCGTTCTTAGCGGGGCCCGCTGGGAGGTAGGTGTGGGCGCGAGGGCGCTCTCCGTGGCGGGGATCCACTCTCACCTCGGCGTACTCGCCGAGGTAGGCGGCCCCCAGCCTCGGTTCCCCGGCGGGTATGTGTTGTCAGAGGGCCTGTTTCGGGAGCAGGGCTGGGGTGAGATGCTTGCGGAGGGTCCCCCCGGCCTGGAGCCGAGGGAGCCGCGCGGGGGGTGCCAGGGTAATCCAGAGGACCTGGGGGCCGGCCCCGCCACTGCCGGCGAGCACACTTAGACCTCCCCGCCCCGGGCGGATGATGGAGCTCCCCTGTTCTGGCTTTCCAGGCTCAGAGTTCGAGCTGGTTGGCCCTACAGCCCACTCAGTTTCCGAATGAGACTGAGCTCGGGAGAGGGCAGGTGACCCTTGTCAAGACCGTACAGCTGATGAATTGTGGGGTCGCGCCGGAATCCAGGCTTCCTGGCTCAGACAGTGCTCCTAACATCATTTCGCATTACAGATTCATTCCCACTCTGGGCGGTCGCTCTGATGTCTTTCCAATCTTAAGCCTCATGAAGATGGGTCTTATTGTTTATCAGGCCTGCGGGTTCAGTTATCAGGATCACTTTCTTCCCCAGGGTGTACTCCAGATCTCCAGATGTCCGCCTGTGGGGTTCAACAGAGGATGAGTCCTCTGTCTTTCTGTCATCAGTAAGCCACTCTTCCCACCTGCTCTCCTGCCATCCACTGTCCTCATGTCTACCTTACTCCTCAATCTGGATTTTGGTGAACCTGCCCCCAAAAAAGCATTTGAGGGGAATGCCAAGCACCGCAAATTTGTCAGGAAGCGGCGGCTCTTGGAACGGAGAGGCTTTCTGAATAAGAAGAACCAACCCCCGAGCAAGGCGCCTAAGCTGCACTCAGAACCTCCAAAGAAAGGGGAGACTTCTAGCGTGGATGGCACTTGGAAGGTCTCTCCCCTTCCAAAAAAGAAGACCGTTGCCTCCAGCAATGGACCAGAGCAGTCCCTGGACAAGAAGGCTGCAGTGCCGTGGCTGACCCCTGCCCCTGCACGGAAGGCCGGGTCTGCAGTGGCTAAGGTGGATTTGCTGGGGGAGTTCCAGAGTGCCCTTCCAAAGATTAGGAGCCACCCAACTCGCCCCCACAAGAAGGGCCCCCAGAAGAACCCTACTCAGAAGAATGCTCCACAGAGCTTCTCCCAGCCTCATTCAGACAATAAATGTCCCGGAGCATCCCTGAAGATGCCAAGGAAGATGGTGGCCATTGACTGTGAGATGGTGGGCACAGGACCCAAAGGGCACGTCAGTTCCCTGGCCCGATGTAGCATTGTCAACTACCACGGAGACGTGCTTTATGATGAGTATGTCCTTCCTCCCTGCCACATCGTGGACTACCGGACCAGATGGAGTGGCATCCGGAAGCAGCACATGGTGAATGCTACCCCTTTCAAGATCGCCCGGAGCCAGGTGAGAGGCATGGGGTGCGCTGGAGGCAGCGAGGTGCAGATCATTTCTCAGCAAGCGAGGTCACCCTAGGAAGGCGCCGAGGGATCCTGGAGGAGGAAGGGAGGGGGGTGGACTGCCAGATGAAGGGGGCTTCCTGCTGAGGTAGGGCGTGGTGAGAGTCCAGGAAGTTAGTTAGCTGCTGTGATGAACTGGGTTAGCTGAGACCTACCTGAGCTCCCAAAACAAATTCTCGTCTGGGGAACTGGGAATCCACACAGAGAAATAACAGCCACTGAGGGGCAGAGCAGCAGGCATGAATGGCGAGGGAAAGGGCTCAGTTTGGGAACGCCTTATGGCTGGAGTTTGGGGTCGAGCCCAAAGAGGTGGAGAGGGTTCCCAAGCAAGTGTGGCAAGCTTGGGACATGGTGGTGGCAGGAGCAGGGTGATGTGTATACCTGGGACAGATGGCCTGAAGTGGAGGGGATAAAAGACACGGGGCTGGCGTGTCAGGGTTCTCACCTCGCTCACTGAGCACACCTCCTCATGGTGGCCCCGTGCTGGACGCTGGTCCCTGGGAGCACCACAGAGGGATAGGGAAAGGGGGATGAACCTGGGAGGCGCAGGGAGGAGGTGGAGAGGGAGCCGGCTGGTCTTGGGAGGCCTCCAGAGGGCGCCCATGGTCCGCGTCTGTCACTTCAACTCCACATTCTCTGTCTTCTCTGGACACACTCTGTTCCACGAATTGTGTTCGTGCCCTGACAGTTGGAGGTGAAGGGGCTGGATTTTAGAAAACTTGAGAGAAAGGGCTGCAGATTCTGTGCCCCGGGGAACCGCTGAGCAGGGCTTGGGAGAGGCAGAAGGTGGGATGGGTCTGAGATCTCGAATCCGCTCAGCTCCAAGGAGAGCTGTGTGTTGACTGAACGTGCAGTGAAGGTGTTGGTGGACGGTAAGTGGCAGTTGCGGTCAGGAGCACACAGGTACCTAGTTGATTGGACTCCCATTGGGTTTTCATTATAAAGCGCTTTCCCGGTGCCCCCGCTTGGGTGTGAGACTAGGGGGATGTTCAGATGGGTCTGGCCCCTTCTGGGGGCTCCTGTTGGCTATGCACCGATCATAGGACTGTTGCTCTTGTTCACAACCTCTTTGGAGCCCATTTGGGGAATGGCCTTCAGAGCTCATGGCATATTCTCTGGTTGTTCTCTCGCTTTAAGATCCTGAAATGGTGAGAGGTTACTTGGTCTCAAGACCAGTATGAATAAGGTTTCTGAACAGCTGGTGAGTAGAGCAGTGGGGCTGACTTTCTTGGCTGCTTGACCGCTTCTCTCTGCAGCCTGAGTCTACAAGTGATTCTTAAGCTTTTGTAGCTTGTAGGCCCTTTCAGAGTCTGATGGAAACCATAGACCCCTCCCCCCAAAAAACCCGTATATGTTAACTGTTTGTGTACGACGTGGGGCTTCTCTTACCTCTCTGGAGCCCATCTTTGACTACATTCGTCCAAGCCTTGTGTCTAAGGCCAGCACGTGGGAATGGCTGGAGAAGTTCACGTAGCAAGCCAGAACTGAACTGGATAGTTTAGCGAACATCTCACACATGACTGTGATTTGGGACTGAGGCAAATTGATCTGTCATTGGGGTGAAAATTAACGAGAAGATAAGGAACCACTGGTTAAGTCCAAATTGGGTTACAGCCACTTTCACCTCGGGGAGTGGAGATGGCCCTCAGATGGAAGAAACCTTGTGGGAGAGGATGAGGTAGGTGAGCACATGGCGAAGAGAGTCTAGAAGGACCAGTGGCCGCGCTGGGCTTCTGGGACGCAGGGGCTCCGCCTGCACCACTGGCCGCCTCACCACCGCGTCCCCTGCTCCCGTTCCAGATCTTGAAGATCCTCACAGGGAAGATAGTGGTGGGCCATGCCATCCACAACGACTTCAAAGCCCTGCAGTACTTCCACCCCAAGTCCCTCACCCGCGACACCTCCCATATACCCCCTCTCAACCGGAAGGCCGACTGCCCGGAGAATGCCACCATGTCCCTGAAGACTCTCACCAAGAAACTTCTGAACCGCGACATCCAGGTAGTGTCTCCCCAGATGCTGCCAGGCCCCCAGCTCAGACCCGGGGGGGGGGTCCTTGCTGCCTCGCTGCAGACTCTAGCCCCAGAATTGCTCTGGACGGAGATGCAGGCGGCGCTCTGATGGGAAGAGCCTTAGACAAAGGGCCCAGTAGTTTCTCCATTTGTAGTAGGGTAATGGTTCCTGTTCTCTGCCTCGCAGAGCATCCCAGGGGCTGCTTGGGAGAGGGAACAGTCTTCAAGTGCATGCAGAACCCGAGCTGGGAAAAGGAGAAAGCACATCGTGGTGCCCTGAGAGTCTGCAGAGTGGGCGCCTGGGCCTCTTGCGACACGTTTGCACCGGGAGGAGGGCGGCCTGCCTGGCAGGAGGGCGGGCGCACATTATGTCGAGAGTGGTTGTACAAGTGGGGAAGGTGCCAGACTCGAGGCCTGTCAGTGATCTGGAACGTTGTGTTGCAGAGCGCAGAACAGACCGGGGCGGACAGGAACCCGGGAGTAGACCCCCCCCCGCAGAGTTGTAGCTTTGCATGCAGTAACTCAGCAGCGTGTCGGGGGGCCGGCGGGGAGCCAGTCGGGAAGGAAAGAAATGGTCTCTTGTGGCTTCATGCTCTTCTCTTCCTCCTGCGTTCAGGTCGGGAAAAGTGGACACTCCTCCGTGGAAGACGCTCAGGCCACCATGGAGCTGTACAAGTTGGTTGAAGTCGAGTGGGAACAGCAGCTGGCCCAGAACCCCCCAAAAGGCTAGCGGCAGCGGGGACGCAGGGGACACAGGAGAGCCGGCCGTGGACCGTGAGGGAGATGGAGGCTCCGCCCCAGGCTCAATAGTCATTGAAGTTTCACCTCAGGTGTTGTGTCGTGTGTCTGGTTAAGTGTTCCGAGGAAGGAGGAAGTCTCCGCGTCAGAAGCAGCCCTACACTGTTTACCTCTTACACGGTGCTAAGCACAGGTCCCAGGGTGCGGGGCTCCCACGGGCCTTCGGACCTTCACGGGGCACCCTGGGCAGTGTAGTTTCCCAAGCGGCATTATCCCCGGGAGGCCACAGGTCCCATCGTATGCCTTTTGTTCTCAAGTAATTAGCAGCATCCTCTTTCGCTCTCCAAAGTACCCTGGTCGGATGACAGCATATCCCAGACTCCGCTTTTGGCTCAGAGCCTCCAGCTAGTCTGTGGTGGCCTGTCGCCCATCCTTCCCACCTTGACCTCCAGAGGATCCATCCTGGGGGAGGTTCAGTTCCCCTTCGGGTTACAAGACAGTAGAGGTAAGAGCGTGACTTGGAAATCAACTTTTCTGGTTTAGGAAAGCAGTCTCTCTCGTAAAGTAATAGAGAATTTATTCAATTTAGATCCCCCTTGATAGGTTAAAAAAGAATTTTAAGCATTTTCGTGGTTTTTAGTGTTTTGCTTTGTTAAACCAAATCTCTAAAGACTCAAATTATTCCCTCGATAAATGTTTGTAACGGAAGAACTTTTAATTGTGCGCTCCTGTTGTTGTTGTTTGAACTTTACGTTAAAAAGCTTTGTCATGAGGAGGGGCGCCTGGCTGGCTCAAGGAGAGCATGCAACTCTTGATCTCGGGAGTTGTGAGTTCAAGCCCCACGCTGGATATAGAGCTTACTTGGGGAAAAAAAAATATCTTGTCACGAGGTCTTATGGGGCTGTGATTGTGTGAGGGGTTCCCGGATCTCTGTGGACCCCCGTTGCTAGAAGTCATCGAGAAGCACTGACCAAGCCTTTGCGTGCAGCCCACGTGCTCTGCTGCCTTGTCCTCATCCCTGCCACAAACCGAGCACGCCTAAAATGATGCCCCAAACCACGCAGACACCTTCACACGGAGGGTATGTGACCAGCAGCGTGATTCAGAGTGGGCATGTGGGAGGGACGGGGTGAGGGAGGGAAGGGTGCTTGGTGACGCCAGCCTGGTTGGTCCTGCCGGCTCTTCCTCGGTGGCACACACCCTCATCTTGGGAAGGTGAGTCACAGGTCTGACCTTGCATCTGGCATCACTGCGCACGCTGTGTCTTGAGAGAATGCAGCCTCCGCGTCCACACCGGGACTTGTGGCCCTGGAGCGGCTGGTTTGGCTGCAGGGGCAGGAGTAGAGCCTCGGCAGCTGGTCGCAGGGACGTTCCTGCAGCCAGACCGGACCTCGGCCGTGGCCTTGCGCTCCTGTCCTGCGCTCGGGATCTGCTTGCACAGGCAGCTGCCGGGCTCTGAGCAAGTTGGTTCCTGCTGAGCCCGGCGTGAGGAATGCCCATGACACTTCGGAGAGGTGCCAGACGCCCTCACACACCTCTAGGTGGGAATAATCCAGGAGGGCCGCACCCAGAACAGGGAATGCACGTGAAAGTAAGGCTGAGTTACGTTGTATTCAGTAAACTGGGAGATAGCTGGGAAAATCTCATTCGAGGTCAGCTTTGAGGGTGCGTCTTGGTAACTAGTCAGCGGCTCTGATGCCCCCCCTTTACCCCCCCTCCACACCCATGTCCGGAAAGGCACCTGGTCTTGGTGCAGGGCCAGGAGTGGGCTTCTGCTCTACAGGCAAAACCTGGGGGCCCAGAGGACCTGGCAACCATTGCCTCACTGTTGCCTCTCATCACACTTCCTGGTTAGAGCCCAGCTCGCCCTGCAAGGCTGCCTGGGGCCCCTTCTACTCAAGTTCCCTTCCTTTTTTTTTTTAAGATTTTATTTATTTATTTGACAGAGAGTGAGGCAGGGAGAGAGGGAACACAAGCAGGGGGAGCAGCAGAGGGAGAAGCAGGCCCCCCGCGGAGCGGGGAGCCCGATGCGGGGCTCGATCCCAGGACCCTGGGACCCTGACCCGAGCCGAAGGCAGACGCTTAACGACTGAGCCACGCAGGCGCCACCTGAAGTCCCCTTCCTTTTCTGCCCCTCTGTCCCCAGGGTCCTGGCTTCCTCTGAGGGTGGCCGACCCCCTTGCAGATTGCCGCCTGAATCCTAGTCAAGTTTTGCCTGAACGCCTGTCCTGCGTCCTTTGGATGGAGCATGCGCGGGACAAAACACATGTCTTCTGGTGATACTCTTCACGGCGGAGGGAGGTGTGATTCAGAGACCCCTCTGCGGGTGGGCTCAGGCAGAGGCAAGGAGCATGAGAGATGTATCCTGCCGGACATCATCTCGGCAGTCTGAAACTTCATTGAACAAAGTGATTCTCAACGGGCAGTGGGGGCGGGGTTTGTAAAAGTTTCGGGTGGTGGCACTGCTCTCCCCTGATCGCCACAGCAAGCCTGCAAGGGGGAGTCATTTGATTCCTGGTTTAACAGATGATCACAGCTGACAATAGGAAAGTTCAACAGTGCTGTAATTAGGAACTTGCCCCAAGGCACAGGAGCCCGAGTTCGAGTTTAGAGAGACAAATACCCAGGGAAGAGACCCGCCAGGCGCGTCCTCTGTCTGCAGCATGTGTGCGGCTCCCCTAGCGCTTGGGTTCACCCCGCGCCGTGGATCAGGTGACCTGTCCCCATGGTTGGAGTTGGATTCTGCCCCATACTAAATGTGTGGCACTTCCTTCTTGGGGCTCCAGGGTTCCAGCCTTAAAACCCTGGGGCTCTTTTCTCCCCTTGATGTTAAGGTTGCTGTGGATAACAATGACCACCGCTTTTTGAGGGCGTCTGTGGGTCAGGCACTGCGCTTGGTCCTCCGGGTGCACGGTGCTGCTGTTCTCACAGGACAGGTGAAGAAGCCTAGGTTGACAAAAGATAAGAAATCCCGCCCAGGCCCAGTAGCCGGTCTGCGGCCTGCGGGTGGGAAGACTCCGCTCCTCACCGCCTCCCTACTCGGCTGTTGACCAGCCCCACGGCCTTGGAGCCAACGTGGAACCGCCCCGCTCGGACGCTGCTGACGCACCTGCCTTGTGCTGGGTGTGGAGCTAGACACTAGGGAAGTGGCATGGTCTCTGTGTGCTAGTTGCTTACCATCTGACAAAGGGAAACCAGCAGACGGATTTCAGTGCGCTGTGGCAGGTGCTGTCCAGGCCCACCGCGGGATTTAAAGCCGGGAGCGATGTGAAGATCATGCTGGCCGCCGAATGGAAGCCGGATTGGAGATGGGCCAGGAGATGAGTTCTGCTTGAATAATTTGGATGAGCATGGACAGAGGGCTGAATCAGTGAAGTGGGAGGACGCATATGAGCATCCCCGAGGAGGGAGAATCAACAAGATCTAGAGATCAGGGCAGGAAGATTATAGATGGTCTTAATATTTCTGACCTGCGGAGAATAGACAGAGCGCTGTCGTTCACGAACATAGCGATGGGCAGAAGAGTGGGTTTCTGAGGAAGCGGACTTGGGTGGACCTGGAGCTGCCTGCAGCTTAGCAGGTGAGAGGCCTGGGGCTGGCGGTTCAGAGACCACAGGGCAGCAGTGGGGGAGCCTTGGACGGGGAGGAGGGCTTCCTGTAGGAAGGTGTGTATAGGAGAGCACGAGCACAAGGTTGAGATCAGAGACTTGGGAACGCCCTTCTTACAAGCCTGGAAGGAGGCCTGACAGAGGCCGCCAGGGGCCAGAGGGCGACAGAAGAGTCTCTCCAGGAAGGAGGGGATAGTATCTGAGACCACGGAGAGGGCCAGTAAGATGAGAGCCAGGGAAAGGGCCTGGTTTTGTAGAAACTGGGTGCCTTTCTTCTGAGCAATGTCTGCGGTGGGGGCGGGGAGGGTGACAGAAGCTCATCCGAGGTGGGCTGCGGAATAGATTGGAGGTGGTGTGCACCGCTCCCCAGGGCTCTGGAGAGGGGCCGATGAGAGCCCCAGTAGGAATGAGGGGTCTGAAGATGCTGCTGGCAAAGCTGTTGACCACAGGTGGCTGAGACGGACGCGACAGTGGGTCCCGAAAGATTGGGGGGATGAGCTTAACCTTGGCAAGCAATAGGGACTCTTCTGGGACCGAAAGGAGGGGGGAAAGTGTGGGGCGGATGGGTATGTTTCTGGGCCGCACCTGGTGACCTGGATTGCTCATGAAATCGGAGCAGAGTATGAGCCAGAAGCCAGGGGACAGAAGTTGGGAGCAGCCGCAGAGGTGGGAGAACGGGCTGATGGAGGACACGTGGAGGGCAGAGGGCGTGACTGAGGTCAGAACCTGGGTTTGCAACGGTGCTGCAAGCTGGCTGTCAGGTCTTTTCTGGCCTTATTCGGCAGCCCACATACAGAAGGGGAGAGTTTACATGACTGGGGCAAGGGGCGGATGGGGTGTGCTGGAGCCCATGGACTTGCAGCCCTGAGAGGCTAAGCTGTTGAAGGAGGGTCGGAGACTGCTGGTGGCCAGCTGCAGGCTTTGAGGCCCAGGAAGGGTGAGCGTGAGCTGGATCCTCAGGGACCCGGGCAGGTGCAGCAACAAGCACCTGGCATTTCTAAGAAGGGGGCTGAGGTGTCGCCAAGGAGCATGCAGAATCCTGACCTCTCCCAGCCGGGGAAGGGCCAGTCTCGTTTGCAGACCTGATTTTTGCGGAGTACCTGTTTCATGCACCTATCCAGGACAGTTAAATAAATTAAATCAAAAAAAAGAGGACTGGGGCACCTGGGTGGCTCAGTCGGTTGAGCGTCTACCTTCGGCTCAGGACATGATCCCGGGGTCCTGGGATCGAGTCCCACATCGGGTTCCCTGCTCAGCAGGGAGTCTGCTTCTCCCCCTCCCTCTGCTGCTCCCCCACCCACTTGTGTTCGTGCGCGCTCGCTCTCTCAAATAAATAAAAAATTTTAAGAACAAGAGTACTAACGAAAGGTACAATCAGTTATTTCTTTCAGCCTCACAGTCACTGATTTTGGCTGAAGTCATGTGCTTACTTTTCATTTTTTGTTCCAGAAACGGTTACCAGCCATTGCCAGACACTGTTGTAGGCCCAGCAAATCTACAGGGGCTCCCTTGCGGTGGGGGCTGATGAGTGCTGTGAAGGACAGTAAGGAGGCAGGCAGATACACGTGCACATAGGACTGTTGATGGGCTGGTGAGAGAAGACCTCTGTGAGGGCAGGACATTTGAGCAGAGGCCTGAACAAAGTGAGGAAACCCATCATGTAAACATCTGGGGAAGAACATTCCAGAGAAAGCGAGAGGTACAAGGGCCCTGAGGCAGGCGTACACTTGGCGTATTCAGGAGCAGCAAGGCCAGTGTTGCTGGAGCAGAGTGAGGCAAGGGGAAAGGGGTAGGAATGGGGTCAGTGAGCAGGGGACATGTAAGCAGAAACTACAGAGCCTCTAGACCATTGGAAAGACTCGGCTTCTATCTGCACAAGATGGGAGCCACTGCAGGGTTTTGAGCAAAGGAGTGGTTTGAACTGACTTAGGGTATAAAAGATGCCCCCCATCCACCCCCTGGGCTGCTGTGAAGGGAGAGAACGGGGACAGAGAGGACCATGGAGCTCTTGCTTTATAGGCAAGACATGCCAGGAGCCCGGGCAGTGGAGGTGGCAAGTGGCCTAATTTGGGACAGATTAGCTTCCCACACATGGATGATCTTTGGTGGG